TAATGCTTTGTTTCAATCTCGTAAAACTTTAATTCATACATTGTGTGAAAACAGCCAACGATTAATTCGCGATATTGCTAAAAATTTTATAATTTCGAAAGCTTTAGAAAATATTGATTTTGATATAAATAACGAAAGCATTAGGCTAGATATTAATAACATACATGTTGGACTAGAATGCGAACATTTGTTAAAAACATCTGTAGAATACGCACGCGAAATTAAATTAAATTGTTTAAAATTTTATGTGACTGCAGTTCGGGAAATGTTGAAACGCTTGCCGTATAAAGATTCTTTATTTGAACAATTTCAATTTTTGAAACCGACAATTGCTCTGTACGACGAAGATAGAAACAAATTTCCAGATTTAACTTTTATTGCAACGCGTATAAGAGATATAAATATTACACAATCAGATTACGAGTGGAGAATATTACTTTCAGTTTTTAATAACGAAGATAAAATAAAATTAGCTTCTTTAGAAATTAATGATATGTGGAAAAATATTTTGGAATTTGAAAACTTCAATGGGGAAAAAATGTTTCCACAGTTAGAGTCATTAGTAAACGCAGTTCTTTCTCTTCCCCATTCAAATGCCGAAGCAGAACGTATATTTTCTATGGTTACGGATATAAAAATAAAAAAGAAATCGATTATCGAACGAAACTGTTTCCGCGATTTGTACTTTACGGTCGAGTTTCCCAGCGGAAGGCATTACTTAACTGCACTAATTTTGAAATCGATTCCGAGCATTTAAAATTACACAATCCACAAAATTTATATGGTAACGCAAGCAATTCATGTGACGGTCTTTAATGCTTTTTTAATTTCATTGATTTTTAAAAAATATTTTTGTATTTTAATTTTTGTTATTTTGTATGACACATCTAGCCTTTATCTATCCTTTATTAATGTTTTATATATGTTAGTTATATATAAGTAGTAGTTAGTTATATATAAGTATTGTTTTTCTTATTTTATTTTATTAACATGTGATTTTATTTTTCAAGTGTCATCCATGCTGTGATATCTAATGTGATATAACGTAATAAATACATGTGATATTATGTAATAGATATCTAAGGAAAGCCAATAATAATGGTATTATATATAATGTTATTTTTATTAATTTAAGTTTTTTCATGAGAAATGGCTTTCAAAGTTATTTTATTTTAATTTTTATTTTGAAATACTCTATATATTATAATTCTTATTGGGGAGGGAGAAAAAGATGGCGGAGTGAGAGACGGTGACAGTGAGAGGTCTGAGAGAAAAGACGAAGGAAAAGTGTAAGGAAGTGAGATGGAGAGGAAGAAAACATAGAGATGGATGGAGGATAAGGAGGCGCAGTACAGGAATTGGAGGAGACGAAAAGGAGAAAAGAAGAAGGAAGTTAGAAGGAGGTAAAATTAAGAAGAGGATGAGTTGGCAGATCGGAGCGAAGAAGGACAAGGAGTGGGGAGGAGATCGAGCGGACGGAGCGAGAGATCGATAGGAGAGAGTGAAGAGGATTGGACGGGAGATGCGAGAGATCGATGAGGACAAGGAGTCGAGCGATCGATAGTAGAGAGAGTAAGGAGAGATGAGCCGGAGAGATCGAGAGATCGATTCGGTTGTAGGAGGTATAGAAGGAGGGGAAAGTGCGAGGTTGGTATGGAGGGGAGGAAAGGCGCCGGTGAAAGAGAAAGGGAAAGTAGAAGGCGGCCAAGGAACACAGGCAAAAGCGATAGAGAAAGTGGAGGAGAGGAAAGAAAAGTAAGACGTGAGAGGAAAAGCGAGAGAAGAGGCTCAGAGAAGAGGAGAAAGCGGAGGAAAGAAGGTAGGAGAGGAAAGAGAGAGGAAGAAAGGGGGGCGATAGAAGGTTGCTGGCGGAGGCAGAATGATAGAGGTTAGGAGCACGTGTATGCGGGGAAGGCAGCTAGACTTCTCGCTTACACGTGTGGTAGAAATAAGAATGGAGGATTAAACAATTAACAATATGCATAGGAAGAAGAGAGAAAGGACGTAGGACCAAAAAAGAAGGAAGCGGAGGGAGAGAAAGGGAGAGAACAGGAGAGAGAAGAGACGAGGAGGGTAGGAGAAGAAAGTGTTGGCGGGGAGAAGGAGGAGTGGCACAGAAGAGAAGTCAGAGGAGAAGGCGGAGAAAAGAAAGAGAAGAGGATGGCAGGAGAAGAGAAAGAGAGCGGAAGGAAGGACTGGATGGACGGGCTGAGAGAGATAGGAAAAGACGTGACGGAGCAACTAAGAAGGATGGAAAGAGAGCTGAGTGGAATAAGGGAGATAATGGAGAGAAAGGAGGAAAGAAAAAGAAGAGAGAAGAGGTGGAAGAGAGAGAGACAGCTAGAGGGAGAAAAGGAAAAGCAAAAGAAGGAAGAAGAGGCGAAACACGAAAGAGAGAGGAAAGTCAAGAGGGAGAAAGAAAAGGAGGGAAAAGGAGAGAGGCAAGAGCTAAAGGAGGGAGAGAGACAGACGGAGAAGTCTGGCGGAGAACTAGAGGAGAAGAGGAAGAAGAAAGACATGGAGATGAAAGAAAAGGAGCAGAGACGAATAAAGGAAGAACAGAAGAGGAAGGAGGAAGAAGAGGAGAGAAGAAAGAAACAAGAGACGGAGGCGAATAGAAAGAGAGAAAAAGAATTAGAAGAAGGGGAGAGTAGCGAAGAGGATAAGAAGAGGGCGAAGAAAAGTTTAGAGAAGAAGGGGGGAGGAGGAGACGGAAGAAGCAAAGGAAAGGGAGAAGAGACTATGCAGAGAATGGAGAGAGGAGGAGAGAGAGAAACAAAGAAGGACAAGGATAAAGAGAGAGAGAGGACAGAAGCGGAGAAGACGGAATGGTGGAGGGAGGAAGAAGAGGACGCAGAGAGAGAGGAAAGGAACAAGAGAGAAAGAGAGGAAAGAAGAAGAAGAAAAGAGAGGGAGAGGACAGAAGCGGAGAAGACGGGATGGTAGAAGGAGGAAGAAGAGGACGCAGAGAGAGAGGAAAGAACAAGAGAGAAAGAGAGGAAAGAAGAAGAAGAAGGATGATATGGAAGGGGGTAGAAGGAAAAGATAGGGAGGAGAGGGCACAGAAAATCAGGACGGCAATTAAGGACTGGTTAAGAAGAGAGGCAGTGGTAGAAAAGATAATAGAAAGGCAGGGAGAGGGGGGAGAATAGTAGCATTAGTAGAGATGAAGGAAGAGAGGGACAAGAGAGAGACACTGGAGGGAAGGGAATGGATGAGAAAGAAATGGGGAATGAATATAGATGAGGACTTAAGTATGGAGGAGAGGAGAATTAGATGGAGAATGTTAGAGAGGGCGAGGATAGAAAGAGAAAAGGGAAGGGAGGTATGGGTGGAAAACAGGAGAATGTGGGTGGATGGAAAGGAGTGGAGATGGGTAGGGGAGGAGAGGGAAAGGGGGAGCAGTGAAGGAGAATCCAGTAGTTAAAAAGGGATTGTAATATGCTTTTTTGATTGTAGGAAGGAGAAAGGTGAAGGAAGCGGAAGAAAAGAGGTAGAGAGAACGAGAGGTGGAGCAGAAAGGAAGAGCAAAGGAGGTGACAGAGGGGAAAGGAAAGAAAAGAAGAAAGGAACGGAACAGGACAGAGAAAGCAGGTTATAGTGATGGAGAGGAAGGGAAGAGAGAGGATAGAGGGATAAGA